TATGTCACATTGAAACTATCATTATTACTTCCCTTGGGCCATGTGACTCCCCTGAGTGACCGACCACATTCTTACAAGATCGCTTACTAAGAATTAATGAGTTGTGTCATATCGCAAAACAGTACCCGGCCCCAAGAATGCGTTAACAATAATATTGCTGACATCTCGCGATAACATGTCATGTCATTCGCTACTTCTGGAGTCTATTCCTGTACATGTCGGCGTATATTACATAAAGAAGTAACTTTATCGTTTTATTGAAGCAACACCGGCTCGAATTTTACGAGTGATTTAAATAGCACAAAGCAATGTCACCTTTGAATACCCTTGTACAATACCGTAACCTTCAACATACCCGTGTACAATACTGTAGCCTTCAATATACCCGTGTACTTTACTGTAGCCGTCAACATACCTGTGTACATAACTGTAGCCTTCAACATACCTGTGTACATTACTGTAGCCTTCAACATACCTGTGTACATTACTGTAGCCTCCAACATACCTGTGTACATTACTGCAGCCTCCAACATACCCGTGTACAATACTGTAGCCGTCAACATACCTGTGTACAATACTGTAGCCGTCAACATACCTGTGTACAATACTGTAGCCGTCAACATACATGTGTACATTACTGTAGCCGTCAACATACATGTGTACATTACTGTAGCCGTCAACATACCTGTGTACAATACTGTAGCCGTCAACATACCTGTGTACAATACTGTAGCCGTCAACATACATGTGTACATTACTGTAGCCGTCAACATACATGTGTACATTACTTTAGCCGTCAACATACCTGTGTACATTACTGTAGCCGTCAACATACCTGTGTACAATACTGTAGCCGTCAACATACCTGTGTACAATACTGTAGCCGTCAACATACCTGTGTACAATACTGTAGCCGTCAACATACCTGTGTACAATACTGTAGCCGTCAACATACCTGTGTACATTACTGTAGCCGTCAACATACATGTGTACATTACTGTAGCCGTCAACATACATGTGTACATTACTGTAGCCGTCAACATACATGTGTACATTACTGTAGCCGTCAACATACCTGTGCACATTACTGTAGCCGTCAACATACATGTGTACATTACTGTAGCCGTCAACATACATGTGTACATTACTGTAGCCTTCAACATTCCTGTATACAATACTGTAGCCGTCAACATACCTGTGTACATTACTGTAGCCGTCAACATACATGTGTACATTACTGTAGCCGTCAACATACATGTGTACATTACTTTAGCCGTCAACATACCTGTGTACATTACTGTAGCCGTCAACATACATGTGTACATTACTGTAGCCGTCAACATACCTGTGCACATTACTGTAGCCGTCAACATACCTGTGTACATTACTGTAGCCGTCAACATACATGTGTACATTACTGTAGCCGTCAACATACATGTGTACATTACTGTAGCCTTCAACATTCCTGTATACAATAATGTAGCCGTCAACATACCTGTGTACATTACTGTAGTCGTCAACATACATGTGTACATTACTGTAGCCGTCAACATACCTGTGTACATTACTGTAGCCGTCAACATACATGTGTACATTACTGTAGCCGTCAACATACATGTGTACATTACTGTAGCCGTCAACATACATGTGTACATTACTGTAGCCGTCAACATACCTGTGCACATTACTGTAGCCGTCAACATACATGTGTACATTACTGTAGCCGTCAACATACATGTGTACATTACTGTAGCCGTCAACATACATGTGTACATTACTGTAGCCGTCAACATACCTGTGCACATTACTGTAGCCGTCAACATACCTGTATACATTACTGTAGCCTTCAACATTCCTGTATACAATAATGTAGCCGTCAACATACCTGTGTACATTACTGTAGTCGTCAACATACATGTGTACATTACTGAAGCCGTCAACATACATGTATACAATTCTGTAGCCTTCAACATACCCGTGTACAATACTTTAGCCTTCAACATGCCCGTGTACAATACTTTAGCCTTAAACATTCATGTGTACAATTCTGTAGCCTTCAACATACCTGTGTACATTACTGTAGGCTTAAACATACCTGTGTACAATTCTGTAGCCTTCATGGTACACGGACGTAACCGTGATTTTCATAATATTTGTCGTTGATACTGAATTAGATTGACATATCTGATTACCCCTATCAAAGTTTGAATAGTATGTATACACGTGTGTGAGTTTTGAAACATATATATATATATATGTAACGCACACATGCACGTATAACACTCAGCCCGCGGTGTGGCCCGCATGTGTCTGTGTGGCAACACTTGCAATCTTACGTGTTGACCAAACAACTATATTTATGGCGACGAGGGGTTATTTTTAGCTTCCTCTGTCATAATCCTGTCTCATTGCTGACAGGCGGACGTCAACCTTAACATACAGCTCCTTAACCCACAAGAGAAGGATTAGCCGAGACTGACTGACTTGGTTGCCGCCACATTGAGGCTGTCTTGAGTGATGTGCTCCAGTGCATGGCTCGGGGTCAATGAAACATGCTGTCTGTAGTTCCTTGATGTCAACATGGCGATAATATTAGCTGCTCGTGAAGACGTGTGGGTACTGATGCGTTCTCACTCACTCACCTTTTCGCGAACGCCTTGATTCATAAACATGCTCGCAATATCAGTCACTGGTTTGTCTGGTCCATACTAGATCATGTACAGGTCGCCGACATGTGACTTGGTCATTAAAGACACCAAGCCACACGAGAAAATAGAATCTTTGGTTTGCACCACTACCAGGGGATCCTGGTACGTGAAGGGAGACTACTCTGTACAGTACGTTGCGGTCCCTCTGATAACCCTGAACACTGTCAGTGTGTATACAGACATAGTTATGAAAACCAATTATATACACAGCCACTTACTTGTTCAGGCCTTCTTGTTATTTACATGAAGGGCCACAGCAACAAAAAACTTATCATTGGGTTTTCGTGGCTTCACGTATCAGACGAAATCTATCAGTAAATAATTGATAAGAGAGAACTCTGGCTAGTGCGGACACCTGATTGAATAGAGAGAACCCTGGCAATTGCGGACAGTTGATTTGATATAGAGAACCCTGGCTAAAGCGGACAGTTGATTTAATACAGAGACCCCTGGGTAATGCGGACAGTTGATTAAATATAAAGAACCCTAGCCAGTGCGGACAGTTGATTGAATACAAAGAACCCTGGCTAGTGCCGACAGCTGATTGAATAGAGAGAACCCTGGCTATTGCGGACAGTTGATTTGATACAGAGAACCCTGGCTAAAACGGACAGTTGATTTTAATACAGATAACCCCGGCTAATGCGGACAGTTGATTGAATACAGATAACTCTGACTAGTGAGGGCAGTTGATTTAATACAGAGAATCCTGGCTAATGCGGACAGCTGGGGCGGTGGCAAGGTCGTCCCTTGCGTCGGCCAGTCTCAAGAGGAGGATTCGAGATCCCTCACATCCCCGTCGGCGCCAGGAAGTCACGCACATCCACACACAGTCTCAGTATGTCAACACACTGTACACTGGCGTTACAGCAGCACCATTGGGCGTGGCCTCACTTAACTCTCACATTCGATCACGCGGCGTCCCGAGTTCCATCACGTGGTGCCTTTGACGTCACATCTGACCACAAGCATGTCTTAGAATGGACGCAGATGTCGACTTATTCCCACTAGCGTTGATGCTTGTTGCGAGTCGTCCATAGCTGATATATGCTGATATATATCAGTCCTCGCCAGATATATCAAGTCGTTCTGGCTGAGACGTCTATTATGACTGTGTCCTTTCTGTAATGTTTTGAAACGAATGTAACACATGTTATATTTTGGATTACACCTTCTTCGATAAGTAGAGAACATCGTACTGGGACGCCTCCGTGGTCTAATGGTAGAGCGTCCGGCCGGAGAGCGGAAGGTCCGGGGTTCGATCCCCGGCCGCGCCATACCAAAGACGTTAAAAGATGGTACTTGCTGTTACCCTGTCTGGCGCTCATCATTATGGGGCTAAAACAATGCCTGGTCGTCTCGGTATCAGTATACTGCTTTTGAGTGGGGTATTCATGTTAAACTGCGGTATGGTATCTCAGCATGTGAAGATCCGGGATAGAATAGGTCGTAAAAGGCGACTATGCTTGTCGTAAGAGGCGACTAACGGGATCGGGTGGTCAGGCTCGCTGATTTGGCTGATGTATGTCATCGCATGTCAATTGCATGGATCGATGCTTGTGATGTCAACCACTGGATTGTCTCGTCCAGACTCGATTATTTACATACCGCCGTCATATAGCTGGAATATTGCTGAATGCGGCGTTGAACAACAAACAAACATTGTATCTCAGTAGACTAGCACTATGAAAAATCGACATCTGTCCGGACGAGTACAAGCCGTCACACACACACACGTGCAAGCACGTCGCGATATAAGTCACCTCACCTCATCTCACCTCACCTCACCTCACTTCGTCTCACCTCACCTCACCTCACCTCACCTCAGGGGCGGTTGGGTAGCCTAGTGGTTAAAGCGTTCGCTCGTCACGCCGAAGACCCGGGTTCGATTTCCGACATGGGTACAATGTGTGAAGCCCATTTCTGGTGTCCCCGCCGTGATATTGCTGGAATATTGCTAAAAGCGGCGTAAAATCATACTCACTCACTCACTCACTCACCTCACCTCACCGTTTTGGCGGAAGTTGCGTCAGGAAGTAGCATCATTCAAGACATGTCCCTCAGCCTGAAGTGCTCCAAACACGTGCGATATGACTTGTAATTTATGCAAAACACTGTGAACAGTGGACAATGTTTACGTTGTGAATACCGCACACAACAAACTGTCTGGTAGAATCACTCAGGAGTGTTATGTTATGTATGTTCTGGTGTCTGGCATGAAGGAAAATATCAAAGGAATGAAGTGAATGTATTTCTTGCTTGTTTGACGCATGTTGTTTTGTCTATTTTCAGATCGCAATCCTACCTTATACAGTGTCCTTGACGTTGTGCCTGACCTTGACATTGACCTCGACGTTGTGCCTGACCTTGACCTTGACCTAGACGTTGCGCCTGACCTTCACTTCTGTGGGATAATGGTTTCCTGTCCTCAGCGACAAATGTTGCCACAAGTTACAGGAACCATGTGTTGACCATGAGAACATGGAGATTACTGTTCCGTGAAAGGTGTGTGGCTGCTGTCGAAACGGGGGTAAACGCACAAATAGTATACGTTGTACACAGGAGACCACAGGAGACCACAGGAGACTATAGGAGACTATAGGACCGGGGCGAATGTCGTCCACAGCAGTGCTTGTGAAATGCTCTAACAACTTACATGAGTGCTTACCTGGGACACGTGATTGACAGTTGAAATGTACACGTTGCACAAGGCGAAGACGTGATTGACAGTTGAAATGTACACGTGGGACAAGGCAGAAGATGTGATTGACAGTTGAAATCACGCACGTGCGAATCTGTGTGCCTCTATTGTGTGTAGATTGTTAAGACTTCAGAATTGTACATATGTCATGTCTGGACCAACTGGCCCTGGTGATTCATCTGTGAGCATTTGATTGTTGACTTGCCAAAATATTTTCATTTGTGGATTTTCAACTGATTTTCATCAGAGATAGTTTTGATACTCTGCATCTGTATATAATATGAATGTAATGTTTATTTGTTCATTGTTCATATGTATATTTATTTTGTGTAAAATATTCAAACATCGTTATTATCTAAAAGGCAATATGTTGGTTTGTCTTTCGCAGTGTTGTATACCGTTGTTCATCTTATTTGAAATCTCGAATTTATATGTACCATATTTTAGATTGTTTATAGGTTTTAATCCTTAAGGAAAAATAAATTTAAGGTAGATGCACGGATACGTCATAAATCACGCTCAGTCTGGGGAGTGGTATATTTAATCTTTAAATAGTTGAAGCCGTTTGGAAGCCTTTCATAAACTGAATATTTGACACATATACATTAAGTAACTTATAAGTAGTTATCTATTTCATCAAGGTCATCATGATGAATGTGACATTTCTGTCTACGCAAATGGATTAATGGCTGTGCTCAATTGCTTAACACTGATTAACACTTAACTTTCAAATCAAAAGGTTTTCGAACATAACGCTGTGATTTTGAGTCGTTAATACTTTTGTTTATTATTTGTTTACTCTCACTGTATAACGAAAGCAGATTTAGCTATGAGAACTATGTACTATGCATGTAGCGGGTAGACAAGTTTAAACATGGCGCTTGTTTCATGATCAATGTGTTCTCTATTTTCTTGATCCATCACAAGGTGTGATCGCAATGTCCATTTGCTTGCAAAACTAACATGTGATGCCATTTGTTGATGTTCGCCCTCAAGGGTTGTGATCAATTAATATATTCTGTATTTGTAACGTGTGTACATATTCTGGCCCTGTGCAATATAACTGAACTTGTACACAGCCAGTTAACGAGTCTGTACATATTGGTGGACAGCTCTCTGTGGGGTGGGAGAGGAAGTATATTTTTATAGCTGTCAAAGAGCAGAACTCGGATGATAAGTACAGTGTCATTGATACAAAGATGCTTATATGTTCATGTAATACAGTTCAAGATCTTAGCTCCGTGGCCATACGGTTATGTGATGGTAAAGGTTATTGCTTCACTGTGAGTTGAATGATCGGTTTCATTAAGAGGGTATAGATAAGGGGGGTGTGTGTAAGGTCGGGTACATCAAGAGGGTTTTGATAGTCACGTATTTATTTGTATTCACATAATAATAATTTCTTTCCTAAAAGCAAGTTTAGATTTCATTTTCAATATTCTGAGATACAGGTCATCAATAAGGTCCGTCCATGACAGTTTTACAAGGATTATGTGTTAAGGTTTTCCACCAAAAGCCTCAGGGGCAGTAACTCTTGCGTCAACCGTGGAACTCCGTTCATCGCGACGGTTCACTCCAAGGACTGAACACTTTCATACTGTTCACTTGTTGACATGTCCATGATTGTAGGTTTACGGAGCAATGGAATAGGTCATGATTTGTAGGTCACAGAGCTATGGAAAAGGTCATGATTTGTAGGTCACGGAGCAATGGGGGAGGTCATGATTTGTAGGTCACGGAGCTATGGGATAGGTCATGATTTGTAGGTCACGGAGCAATGGGGGAGGTCATGATTTGTAGGTCACGGAGCTATGGGATGGGTCGTGTTTAAATTTGTAGGTCACAGAGCCATGGGGTAGGTCATGATTTGTAGGTCACGGAGCAATGGGGGAGGTCATGATTTGTAGGTCACGGAGCCATGGGGTAGGTCATGATTTGTAGGTCACGGGACAATGGGATAGGTCAGGATTTGTAGGTCACGGAACAATTGGATAGGTCTGATTTGTAGCTCACGGAGCCATGGGATGGGTCGTGATTTGTAGGTCACGGAGCCATGGGGTAGGTCATTATTTGTAGGTCACGGAACAATTGGATAGGTCTGATTTGTAGGTCACGGAGCCATGGGATGGGTCGTGTTTATAGGTCACGGAGCCATGGGATGGGTCGTGATTTGTAGGTCACGGAGCCATGGGGTAGGTCATGATTTAAAGGTCACGGAGCCATGGGAAAGGTCATAATCAAAAGGTCACGGAGCCATGGGGATAGGTCATGATTTGTGAATTTGATGTTCTGGAACCACTGGCTAACCTCTCGTCGGTTGTCAACGTGTTTGTGTAATATGCAGGTGCTGTATCTCCCCATTTATCCCAGTCACTACAGAAATAAGAGCCAGAAACACCCCTTTGCCTTATCAAAGTATGGCAAGCCTGGGCTGATTTCACTTGTTTGACTCACACAGGTGCTGTATCTCCCCATTTATCCCAGTCACTACAGAAATAAGAGCCAGAAACACCCCTTTGCCTTATCAAAGTATGGCAAGCCTGGGCTGATTTCACTTGTTTGACTCACACAGGTGCTGTATCACCCCATTTATCCCAGTCACTACAGAAATAAGAGCCAGAAACACCCCTTTGCCTTATCAAAGTATGGCAAGCCAGGGGTGATGTCACTTGTTTGACTCACACAGGTGCTGTATCACCCCATTTATCCCAGTCACTACAGAAATAAGAGCCAGAAACACCCCTTTGCCTTATCAAAGTATGGCAAGCCTGGGCTGATTTCACTTGTTTGACTCACACAGGTGCTGTATCACCCCATTTATCCCAGTCACTACAGAAATAAGAGCCAGAAACACCCCTTTGCCTTATCAAAGTATGGCAAGCCTGGGCTGATTTCACTTGTTTGACTCACACAGGTGCTGTATCACCCCATTTATCCCAGTCACTACAGAAATAAGAGCCAGAAACACCCCTTTGCCTTATCAAAGTATGGCAAGCCTGGGGTGATTTCACTTGTTTGACTCATACTGGTTAGTTGCTGTGTGTGGGAAAACGTGTTCTTGTATTGAACGAATTGTTTCGAGGTGTATAACAACATACATGACATATGAAGTGTACAATGGCATGTCAGTTTGAGGATTATCTATCGTTTGAATTGTGTACTGATGCCAGACACTGACACAAGGACTGTTTTATACAGGTGGTCCCTGATACACTGACACTAGGACTGGGTTATACAGGTGGTCCCTGATACACTGACACAAGGACTGTGTTATACAGGTTGTCCCTGATACACTGGCACTAGGACTGTGTTATACAGGTTGTCCCTGATACACTGACACAAGGACTGTTTTATACAGGTGGTCCCTGATACACTGACACTAGAACTGTGTTATACAGGTGGTCCCTGATACACTGACACTAGGACTGTGTTATACAGGTTGTCCCTGATACACTGACACATGGACTGTGTTATACAGGTTGTCCCTGATACACTGACACTAGGACTGTGTTATACAGGTTGTCCCTGATACACTGACACTAGGACTGTGTTATACAGGTGGTCCCTGATACACTGACACTAGGACTGTGTTATACAGGTTGTCCCTGATACACTGACACTAGGACTGTGTTATACAGGTTGTCCCTGATACACTGACACTAGGACTGTGTTATACAGGTTGTCCCTGATACACTGACACTAGGACTGTGTTATACAGGTTGTCTCTGATACACTGACATTAGGACTGTGTTATACAGGTGGTCCCTGATACACTGACACTAGGACTGTGTTATACTGGTGGTCCCTGATACACTGACACTAGGACTGTGTTATACAGGTTGTCCCTGATACACTGACACTAGGACTGTGTTATACAGGTTGTCCCTGATACATTGACACTAGGACTGTGTTATACCGGCTGTCCCTGATACACTGGCACTAGGACTGTGTTATACAGGTGGTCCCTGACACACTGACACTAGGACTGTGTTATACGGGTGGTCCCTGATACACTGACATTAGGACTGTGTTATACAGGTTGTCCCTGAAACATTGACACTAGGACTGTGTTATACCGGCTGTCCCTGATACACTGACACTAGGACTGTGTTATACTGGTGGTCCCTGATACACTGACACTAGGACTGTGTTATACAGGTTGTCCCTGATACACTGACACTAGGACTGTGTTATACAGGTTGTCCCTGATACACTGACACTAGCACGGTGTTATACAGGTGGTCCCTGATACACTGACACTAGGACTGTGTTATACAGGTGGTCCCTGATACACTGACACTAGGACTGTGTTATACTGGTGGTCCCTGATACACTGACACTAGGACTGTGTTATACAGGTTGTCCCTGATACACTGACACTAGGACTGTGTTATACAGGTTGTCCCTGATACATTGACACTAGGACTGTGTTATACCGGCTGTCCCTGATACACTGACACTAGGACTGTGTTATACAGGTGGTCCCTGATACACTGACACTAGGACTGTGTTATACAGGTGGTCCCTGATACACTGACACTAGAACTGTGTTATACAGGTTGTCCCTGATACACTGACACTAGGACGGTGTTATAGAGATGGTCCCTGATACACTGACACTAGGACTGTGTTATACAGGTGGTCCCTGATACACTGACACTAGGACGGTGTTATAGAGATGGTCCCTGATACATTGACACTAGGACTGTGTTATACCGGCTGTCCCTGATACACTGACACTAGGACTGTGTTAAACAGGTGGTCCCTGATACACTGACACTAGGACTGTGTTATACAGGTGGTCCCTGATACACTGACACTAGGACGGTGTTATAGAGATGGTCCCTGATACACTGACATTAGGACTGTGTTATGCAGGTGGTCCCTGATACACTGACAATAGGACAGTGTTATACAGGTTGTCCCTGATACACTGACACAAGGACTGTGTTATACAGGTTGTAACTGATACACTGACACTAGGACTGTGTTATACAGGTTGTCCCTGATACACTGACACTAGGACTGTGTTATACAGGTTGTCCCTGATACACTGACACTAGGACTTTGTTATACAGGTTGTCCCTGATACATTGACATTAGGACTGTGTAATACAGGTTGTCCCTGATACACTGACACTAGGACTGTGTTATACAGGTTGTCCCTGATACACTGACACTAGGACTGTGTTATACAGGTTGTCCCTGATACACTGACACTATGACTGTGTTATACAGGTGGTCCCTCATACACTGACACTAGGACGGTGATATACAGGTGGTCCCAGATAAACTGACACTAGGACTGTGTTATACAGGTGGTCCCTGATACACTGACACTGACGTAGGATTTAATTCAACATATACCACAAACTAATATTTTTGATATTATTAACCACCATACCCGTGATCGTTGGTTTTGTCAAAGTGGTAAAAGCCTGTGACCTTCATCACGTCGGTCTTTCCTTCCAAATTAAGGTGAGACGCCGTGATATAACCGGAATACTGTTAAAAGTGGCGTTAAACCCAACTCACTCACTCACTCACTGATATGTGTTTCCATATGTTGCAGGTGTAAAGTGTTTATGCCTATAAAAAGTTGAAAATAAATGTTGATGTGAAACGTTAACTTATTATTCGGAAGTTCTATCAATATAATTTTCTAGGAATCGGTTAAGTTATGGTATGGCTACCGGTGTCCGTGTAGTTCACACTGTGTTAAAGTACTTACTGGTGGGGTTGTGTACACGTCATAAAAAAACTTTAAAAAATGTAGTTGAATGACCTTTGTACCAGAGAAGTAAACGTACTCCGACTGACACACTAGATTTGTTGATACAATGCAACTTCGATTTATTGTTAAATCTGTTCACAAAGAGGATATATTGTTGCAATAAAATTATCAGATAATTTGTCCTTGTTTGTTTCATTACCTGTACGGGGGGCGGTGGAGTAGCCGCGTTGTGAAAGTGTTGACCCATCACAGCGAGGTTCGAATCCCTACATGGACATCATGTGTCCGTTGTGGTGTTGCTCAGGACACAATGTCCACTACACACCTTTTGTCTAGAGAACTGTCAGGACACAATGTCCACTACACACCTTTTGTCTAGAGCACTGTGACAGATTCTTGTAGTCCACCTTTGTTGGATAGTATTAGGCCCGACTCTGATTGGCTGCTCCATGGCAATGACCCGAGGTCATGTCGCGTACTACTTTTATTCATTCATTGTAAAGAGATATGTCTTTCATGTTTATAGCGTGCTGCTTAGCTTCTGAAGTGAATAAACTATAAACGTAATCTACACAATATCACAAATAGTCAGTTATATATATTCCAAAGTCATCTCTATTGCTTACGGGCAGTGGGGTAGTATGATTCGTGAAGCCCATTTCTGGTGTCCCGTGCCGTGATATTGCTGGGATATTGCTAAAAGCTGTGTTAAACCATACACAATCATTTAATCTATTGCTTACCATTAATTCAATGAATGGAACAGGTAGAACAAAAGCATCTGTCACCTGCATGAAACAACGCAATTGTCTGCAGAACCTGGCTGCCACTGCTGTTGACATTTGGGTGAATAATGAATTTGTAACACGGTTGCAGATATACATACTACCCAGTCTATGGATACTGACTGTCCAGATGTCCACATGTGCAGTGAGCCAGGTAGCTAGGTACAGACAGGATGTGCAATGCCCAGATGTCCACATGTTCAGTGAGGGACGGTAGCTAGGTACAGACAGGATGTGCAATGCCCAGATGACCACATGTGCAGTGAGGGACGGTAGCTAGGTACAGACAGGATGTGCAATGCCCAGATGACCACATGTGCAGTGAGTCCGGTAGCTAGGTACAGACAGGATGTGCAATGCCCAGATGTCCACATGTGCAGTGAGGGACGGTAGTTAGGTACAGACAGGATGTGCAATCCCCAGATGACCACATGTCCAGTGAGGGACGGTAGCTAGGTACAGACAGGATGTGCAATGCCCAGATGACCACATGTGCAGTGAGGGACGGTAGCTAGGTACAGACAGGATGTGCAATGCCCAGATGACCACATGTGAATTGAGGGACGGTAGCTAGGTACAGACAGGATGTGCAATGCCCAGATGACCACATGTGCAGTGAGGGACGGTAGCTAGGTACAGACAGGATGTGCAATGCCCAGATGACCACATGTGAAGTGTGGGACGGTAGCTAGGTACAGACAGGATGTGCAATGCCCAGATGACCACATGTGCAGTGAGGGACGGTAGCTAGGTACAGACAGGATGTGCAATGCCCAGATGTCCACATGTGCCGTGTGGGACGGTAGCAAGGTACATACAGGATGTGCAATGCCCAGATGACCACATGTGCAGTGAGGGACGGTACCTAGGTACAGACAGGATGTTCAATGCCCAGATGTCCACATGTGCAGTGTGGGACGGTAGCAAGGTACAGACAAGATGTGCAATGCCCAGATGACCACATGTGCAGTGAGTCCGGTAGCTAGGTACAGACAGGATGTGCAATTCCCAGATGACCACATGTGCAGTGAGTCCGGTAGCTAGGTAGAGACAGGATGTGCAATGCCCAGAAGACCACATGTGCAGTGAGGGACGGTGGCTAGGTACAGAAAGGATGTGCAATGCCCAGATGACCACATGTGCAGTGAGGGACGGTAGCTAGGTATAGACAGGATGTGCAATGCCCAGATGACCACATGTGCAGTGAGTCCGGTAGCTAGGTAGAGACAGGATGTGCAATGCCCAGATGTCCACATGTGCAGTGAGGGACGTTAGTTAGGTACAGACAGGATGTGCAATCCCCAGATGACCACATGTGCAGTGAGGGACGGTAGCTAGGTACAGACAGGATGTGCAATGCCCAGATGACCACATGTGCAGTGAGTCCGGTAGCTAGGTACAGACAGGATGTGCAATGCCCAGATGACCACATGTGAAG